TCCTGAGTCCTGCTAGGTTGGCCCCATAATATTTTACTAACTGAAGGCCCAGATTCTTTCCAAATCATATAACTTCTAAATTGAGTGAATTGATAGTAGCCAACTCCTCTTCCACTTAGCCTTTCTCTGCCTGGTTAGAGAATTATGCCCGAAAGCCCTCAGGCATCCTGTGTACGGGCTCACCTCCCTTCTGTGCCTCTGCCCTGGCACTCATCATGTACCACCTTTGAAGGAGTTGAGAAAATAGTCTCTCAGCTAATTTTCTTGGGGTTCAAATCTGGATCCCCAATTGAGAAAGGTTGTACCATCAATCACTACTTATAAAGTCCCCTTACCTCTTTTTTTCTCTTCCTCTCTTTTCTTGCTTCTGCCTGTCCCCCAGCTTCCCCGTCCATACATGCATTTGGGGGCACCCAGTAGGTATGAGATTGGCTTTCCAATGTGAACCCCAGTCCAGCAGCATCAGCATCCTCTGGGACCTTGACAGGAATGCTCTTTCTCCCCATCTCCCTGTCCTTTCTCCTCATTCCCCAGATGAATCAAACTCTGAAGGTGGGGCCAAGCCGTCAGAGTTTCAACAAGCCCCCCAGATGTTTCTGATGTGCTCAAGTTTAGAAACCACCGCCCTAGATGCAGAAAGTAGACACTTCTGGACACTGGAATATAAATATGAATGAGATCGCATCCTTGACCTTAAGGGGCAGACAGTCTACTGGGAGAGACAGACTTGTAAACAGGAACAACCCAGGATTCTGAGAGCCACAGTGGAAACCCAGAACCACCCAAGGGGCTGGCCAAGTTGCATTTTGGAAGGAGGATTTGGAAAGGATTGCTAAAAGAAAAAAAAAGATACTTGAACTATTAAGTCTGAGACTAGAACTGTCTAGTGGGATTTTCTGGGGGGGGGGGGGAGGAAGGGATATTCCATAAAAAGGCGTCGATACCCCAAACATGCACGTGTTTGTAGTGATGGGCAAAGACCTCAAGGTCCAAAAAGCACCTTGTTGGGGGGGTTGTGGGTGGAGGAAAGTGGCGGTTGTGTTTTGTTGATATTGAATCCTGGGGCCCTGACTCAGGAGACACCAATATCTATTTGAATGAATCCAAAGACCCTGCATTTCCACATTTTAAACTTTCACTAGATCATTTTTTCTCAACTTGATATGAAAACAAATAAATCTCCTCTTGAGTTTTCTGCTTGACACACCATATTCCTTCACGAAATTAGCCACAGACTGAGGGCCATGCATACTGGATCATAAAGCTTGGCCTGGCACCTTGAGACGGGTTACCTTTAAATGTGCTAAGGAGCCAGGGCAGCGCAAGCACTGGCCTGAACCAGCATAGCCTGAACCGACAACTTGATCCAAATATGCAAATTATTGATGCTTCTCATAAACACATTGGTCCTTACAGTAGGAACCATGACAGGCTTCTCATTAAAATGTGAAAAATCAAAGGTCTCAGGCAGAGCATTTCCTTTGGCTTGAGTTAAAATCAACTCTGCATATGAGATGATCGGGCCTGGTTCTTTTCTAGTCATGTTGTCATATGCTCCCTACGCCAGATGCTCACTTGTCTTTCTTCTGGATGCCAGGCCTACTTCATAGCAGCAGAAACTGCCCCCAGGGTACCTTCACACTGACCGCAGCGACAGGTCTGGTGGCCCACTCAAAGGGGAGGCTCTATGCCAGATTAGACCCGGGTCCTGAGGTTTCCTTCTTTTCAGAGGCACTTCTAAGGGAGCCGTCCTGCTGGACCTCCTCCCCAGCATCCCCCCGACCTGACCTGGCTCCGTGTACCCGGTTAATTACATCCCTGGCTGGCTTGCTGGGGCCTCTGATCTGACACAGGCCGGGGAGGGCTACTTTAACCTGTGCTCCTAATCAAGTCCATCAGAGATCACAGGCCTCAGAGAGTACAGAGGGGCCTTGGAGTTCGAGGACCCCTCCCCTCACCCAGAGGCCTCTCCACACAGCTTCCAGGCATTGACCCTGGAGATGGTTTCGCAGGTGACGCATGGAGAAATGAAAATATTCCTAACAACCCAAGGGCAATGGGCTTTCCTTTACTTCTCTTATCCCCAAATTTAATCTTTTAGATTACCTCTGCAATAAAAAGAACTGCAAACGTGAACTTACTAAATGAGGTCCTGTTTTAACTTTTCTCTCTGGTCCACCTTCGGGCTTACTGCTCTGGGCATCCTTGCTGGCTAAGCCAGCGCCCGAGCCAGAGGGCTGCTGTCACTGTCGGGGAGGCTTGGTGCAGGGCTGCTTCCCCCGGGAGGAGCATGACCATCCTGACATGGCAGTGCGGGTCTGAGAGGCGGGACTTACAAGTCGTGTCTCTGGATCTCAGTTTTCATGTCTTTAAAAGGAGGGACTGGGACCAGCAATCTGTTCCAAGCTTAGGATTTTATCAATGTTAGGTCTTCCCCTCCAGAGCAGCACTGAGGACTGGAGTAGGGAGTGCAGGAGAAGGAGGGCACAGAACAGGCGCAGGCTATCTTGCTCACCACGTGCACACGCATGCACACACGTGTACCTGCTGTCCTCCACATGCTTCCTGCTATGACTGTGGCCCTCCGTTTTGGGTGTACTTTTGCATTGGGTGTATCACTAGTGATAAGCAGAGAAAAAACTAAGAGTTGTTTTGAGATGAAGAGTCGTTTTGCCTGTCTTCCTCTAGAAGAAAACAAGGATATGATTTTAAATAAGTTTGCCACTTTTACTTCTACTTTTCAATTTGCTTCATTTGTTTGTTCTGATCAAGTTTATTCATCTGCAGACACGTGCCCTGTGCTGGGGTAGGCCGTGGGCTTCCAGGGCGAACATAGCTCTATACGGTTTGCATTCAAACATTCCAGAACACACTAGATGCATTAATGATGTTGATCTAGAACAGGGACATGTGAGATCACCGTGGGGTCCCAGGGACGGCCATCTCCCTTTTCCTTGCAGACGAGGACCCTGAATCCAAATACTATAAATGCACTCATAGCGTATTCAGCTGGATGTTTTGAATTTTGGAACTTTGAAAACTTTGTTTTTCAAAGCTTGTTTTCTATGCATCCAGTGCCTCAGTTTCTCTGTAAAATATTAATTTCAATCTTTGCCCCAGGAGCAGCCTTAGGGTTAATATGTGTGCTGAGAAGCTATTTGTAAACCACTTTGTTCCAGAACATAGTTGCTCTAATATCAGGTGTAATTGTTAATTTTCTCTTAATTAATGTATTAATTAAATTGTTATTTTACTACCTTGGTTTTACATAGAAAGAGTTAATAGCCAAGTGACGTCTAATATGCCAGGAGTCCCATTTGGTCTTCACCCTTTTTGCTTTTTCTGCTTGACTTTCTTTATTTCTTCAGTGTATTTTGGTTGGAGAGGAAAATATTATAGCCTAAAATTTGTATAGGCCAAGACAGACAAGCCGGTAGTCATTAGTGTTAAGTGACTGTGGGGGGTTGGGGTGCTGGACAGAAAGCCTTGGCATTTTGAGTATGTTCAGGGAAGGCAGAGGACAGGGGCAGAGTTTCGCAAAATACCCCAGGGTCGTTACACCTCTGGGAAAAGAGTTTGGTAGGCTAGTTCATACAGAACCCAGAAATTAGTAAAAAACGCTGATACCAACCACATCCTTTCATTCTAAGCTATTGACTTCATCTATCTAAACATTTGATTATTGTATGAACCCTTCATTACTATGACATTTGTCGTTCACAAAAATTTCTAAGTTTCTAATTTCTAAGTTTCTCTACACTTAGGCAAATAGGAAGCTGAGGCCTGGTCTGCAGGGGAAGGGAGATTATGAGTCTCAAGAGTCAAGGAGAGATAATTATTGATGGTTTGGGAGAACCTAGTTGCAAAATGAACTCATGGTAGAGAGCGCCATTTATGGAATAGGCAATTGTTTGTCCAAAGAGGACTGAAAAGCTAAGGAGGTTTTGAACATTAGGAAGGTGACAGGAAGCGGCAGTTCCTGGTGGTTCAGGCTTACGTGAGGGTGTGATGCTGTTTAGAGTTATTACCACCCTGTGCTTCAGGCATTCGAGTTTTCTTGAAGCTGAGATTGCACTCACAAGCAAAGAAAACCACAGCATGAGGAGGGAGAAAACTGGGCATTTTTTTCCCCTCTCCTATCTTTTTTTTTTTAATTTATTTTTTTATTTTTATATCCCCCATACATTTGCAGCCCCCTGATTTTAACCCCAATCCCTCCTTCCCCCCCCCATTGTGTCTCTGGTTCATAGTTGTTTGTTGATTTTGATTTTTTTCTTTCTTATTGTTATTCTTTTTCCTGGTCCCTTATTTAGGTTTTCTAGATTCCTGTAATGAGTGGGACCATCCGGTATTTTTCTTGAAAACTGGGAATTTTTAATGTACACATTAAGTTTCGTAAGTGTTCAGACATACAAACTTAGGAGAGGTATACTAAAATTTTTCAATTGAAAAACAAGTTATGTTTCAGCAATTTGCTATTTGTTAGACTTTGTATAAGAATGCATTTTAAAGGACATGAGATTTATTGCCTTTGTTTTGAAGGAGTAAGAAAGTTTTATGCTATTTCATTTGCATAAATAATATTATCTTGATAAGAGAATAGTGAGGCATACCTGTTTGTATTAGGTACCTGCAGATAGGTAAAAAGTAGAAATCATACAAACTTTGGTTATCAGTGAAACACCATGCCATGTGATTACAGAGGCTGTGAACACAGAATGACTTTACAATTCAAATGTATTTAATAAGAAGAAATTTAAGTTGGTTGCAAAAGAATAATTATTTTCTCTCCATCTTAGTCTCCCAATAAAAATGATGTATTAAACTACTTAACTGTCTATTCTATATTAAATTTAGAAAATTAAAAGTAACTTCACTTATTCTTTCTTTATAGCTACCAAAGTTTTGGTGCATGGGAGATAATTTATTTTGTTATTTACAGCAGTGTTTGAAAACTAATTCAAAGTTATTCTAACGCCTCTTATCTTCTTGTCTTACAGCTCGGTTCATCCTCTTCTGTGCCTTTTAGATCTATTTTTTCTCAGCTCTTTATGACTGTCGTGGTCCCCCTCATTATTGGACAGGTAAGGTCTCTAGTTCTCTCTGCTCTGTTCTTTATAAATCAAACTGTGAGTGCTTATGTCATGTCAAGACAACGGAGAGAAAAGAGAGAAGAAGAGAGAGTTAAATGAGAATTATAAGTCTGTAACATGAGGCTTCATCAATCACAAAATCCTCATCTGTTTTTTTAATTAACCAATCTGCCTTGCAGATAGCTGTGGAGAGACACCTGCACAGAATCTTGATTTTTTTTCAATTTATTATCCCTTCCTCATGGCTATGGCACTAGCTCTAAAACATCTAGCAAGTTATTACTTTATTCTGCAACTTCCAATATGGTCTCAGAAATTAGAATCATTTGGGGAATAAGCCTCTGACTTTGGCTGACTTCTTCATAGACTACTTCGACAGAGGCCATCATTTTAAGGGTGGAATTGATGAAATAAATATTTCATTCTGTTGCTTTTAAAATTGAACCCCGAAAAAAAAAATAAAATTGAACCCTGGAAAGTTTGCCTTATTGTTCTTGTTGAATTGGACTAATAAGTGAAAGACATGTCTTTTAACTTCTTATAATAAGTTAATGATACACATGTAATTATACACATACAGATATAGAAAGAAGGTGGTGATTTGTAATCATGGTCACCTGCATAAAGGAAGACAGAATTTAATGTTCCAGTAAATGAGTGAGATTTAGACAATAGGGTATTAGGATGGTTAAGAACATACATAGATGTTGGTTTAAGGGCAACTGGATTCTAATTTTTTTGCTGTGTGACCTTGAGTGAGTCATTTCATCTCCCCAGCTCTAGGTTCATAGCTTATTAAATCATACAATAATAGTGCTGTCTTAAAGGTTGTTTTGAGGATTAAATGAAATGCAGATGTATGAGAAGTTTTTCTCATCATAGAGCCTGACACAGGTAAGTGTTCTACAGATTCTATCATTGGCATCATTATCAAATTCCCTGTCAACTTGCTGAAGTAATGGCTATAAAAACGGTGTATGTATAGACATGCAATATTGACATGCTGTCAAAGTCCAGTCCTCTGGGAGATGGAGTCCAAGAGAGGTTTCCATGCTAGAAGTTTCTTGAAGAGTAAGGCTCAACATTAGACAGGGAATTCCTTTCTTCCTGCTGGGAGACAAGTAATAAGGGTACAAGTCTGTGCCCCCAGGTGGGGGCTGGGGGATGGGGTGGGGGAGGTGGTGCTGAGAACATTCTTTGAAGGAAGCATTCCGGGCTAGACACCTTTAAAGAGTAAAAGAAGTAGGACTGGGAGAGGGAGGGGTTGAGCTGCTGTGCAGTCCCAGCAAGCAGGCCCTGGAGCTGGACTGACCTCCCTGGGGTATGCAGACTCTGAACCATGCTCTGGCCCCCTGGGCTAGAGGACTCTAGAGTCATAAGGCTTTTTTCAGGTGAGATTCAGGGTCCAGACGTAGGACCTGGGGGCTCGAGTGTGTCCTCCTGAGTGTGTCCTCCTGAGTTCTGTGTATCCCCTCAGGAGACACAGGCAGAATCCTCCCCCGCCACCTGACATTTCTTGCACATTTTATGCAGGTCATTGAGGCGTCTATGTCTCATGCTCATTTTAGCAGGACAATATTTATCTGCCTTTCTCATGAGAATAAATGAAATAATAGTGGGAAAAATTTTGGAAAGTTAAATGGATAGTGGGTACTTGTTGTGTCCATGGGTCGTTATTATTTATCTGCTTTTACAAAGTGTGCAGATGATATTTGGAATCTACTCAATATAATAAAAATAATTTTAAAGAAAACCATTGTATAAATTGGATTTGATCTCATATTCCTGATGACGTATTTCCACAGAATATTAGTGAACAAACGAATGCTTTATGAAAATATATGGATTCAGTGGAATAGAGGATAAAAGTAGAAGAATCTAAAGTCATCTTGAAGAAAAATACATTTTAAAATGCCAACTTAACAAAAAATTATTCATCATATATTCAGTTTGCTAATGTAAATTGAATATATTCAATTTACAAAAAAATCAATTTACTAATGTAAATACAGAGTAGGAAGGAAAAGAAATAAAAAACCCTAGGGAAAAAAATGAAGAAAACTGAAATAATGACAGTTCCGTTTCTCATCCATCTCACTATTAGACATTGTTCACCTGAGATCCATTGCTTCTCCAGATTTCCAGTCTCGGAGCCAAAATAATTGGTGTGTGGCTCAGCTTCTCAGAAGTACAGGGATTTAGATTTGAGTTTCCCTTTAACCTGCCTGATGCTTAGTTTAAAATGAAGAAAATCAAAATGCAGAAGATGAGGCAATAAAGGCTTCCTATGGAAGATTTTTCCCCCTTTGCTCTCCATAGAGAAAACCAATCATGTTGATAAGGATTTATCACTTGATTTTGAATGCGTGAGTGTCTCTGGGCCAACAGCAAATGACTTAGTATGGACTCTGCAGAAAGGGGCACCTGGCTTCCCCTGCAGATGCCTTTTCCCACCTCATCTTGACTTTTCTCCCCCAGGAGAGAATTTTGAGGCACGTGTATCAGGTTGTGTTGATCTGTCTCTAGCAAAGTCTCCTTTCCTATAAGGCTGTTAGACATTTCTATAAGGCAACGTCTTTTAAAGAATTTAAAAATGACATGGATTCTTGACAAATGGAGACTGATTGTAGCAAAAGGAAGTGGCTAAACTAAGGAGAAAGTAAGGTTTCCCTGAGCGCATCTTTGAGCCACATCAACACAACTTTACCCAGTAGTTTATAAAACATTTTAACACTTTCTTACCTCTAGAGTGCAAAAGCAGCTTTGTGAATTTAATTTTAGAGTATGATGGAAAAGCTGTGTGGAACCTGGTAAGGTAGAAAATAGATTACTTAGAAAACGCAGAAAAATATCACTGGAAGACTGAAAACAGGGAAAGGCAATTTGTTTTCCCCTAGGGTTATGTTGCACTCCAAGGTCCGGTCGGGTTCCCAGCTTCCTGGTTGTGTTCTTTGTGGAAATTAAGTATCCAGCATTGATGCACTGATGTGTTTAGAAGAGCATGGAGGCTAAGAGGACCCAGCACCTGGGAGCCCCCATTTCCTGCCATATTGACAGCCTTGTAACAAAGAAAGAGGCTATTTAGACGAAGTGAGTTAACGTGTAGCTTGTAAGTTGATTGAAAATTAGAGATTTGTCTTGGTGTTTAAAATGGCTTTGACTTCTGAGTTATACCGGCTTGTATTTACTTGTTTACTTTGTCATAGAGGGGCAATGGTGGTGGAAGAGGAAGACATTTTTACTTTTGGAATTAAGGTCACATATTGTATGGCCTATTGCAGGGAGAGGACTTTGTGTTTTTAACCATTGTATATTCAAACAACATGGGAGAAGAGCATCAATTTTAATAACTGTAATTTCCACTTATTTCCTAAAGGAATTGAGTGGTAAATGTAGACAACTATCAGATTTATGCCACCAAATACAGTGCATTCTGAGATGACTTTTTAAATGAACTCCTTCTGTAGCTTTCTAATTGGCAGCTACTCCATGATGACACATCTGGACCTGGGGCCATGTGGACACTTGGGTGCTATCATCCCAAATTGTGTCCAAATAGATCAGCCCATAGTACTGTGTGACTGATCCTCTGATTTCTCTTTATGCTACTTTGTTGTAACTTCAAAGAAAGAAATGAACACTAGAGAAATTACTATGGTTTGGAGTTATTTCTAGAAATAAATCTAGCTGTAACATTAATTACAGCATCTACTTATTTAAAAAAATATACATATGTATACACACACGTGTGTGTGTGTTCAATATATATACACTCTTTCTCCTTCATTCCCATCCTACTTAACCTTCAAGGTTTTGTGAAACCCATGCCTTGTGCTAACTGGTCAGCTTGCCGCCAGGGCTCCCTTTATTAACACCCTTACTTCCCCTACAGAGTCCTTGAGAATGGACGAAGTTGATCCAAGAGCCGTTTGTCCAAAGGTCCTCTTGAGAGTAGCTTGTTTTGTGCCTGTGTGTCTGTGAAGGTAGGCCCCACTGCCAATGCAGACTTTTTAGTGACAGAGCAGAAGATGACAGAACCCCATCAGCCTTGTCAGGAGAAGTTCCCTGACCTCATTACTGCTAATGGCTCATGGTAATTCAGCCTGTTGTGAAATCTCATGTCCAATTATGCTGGATAATGAGTGACTCAGAACTTAATATGACTCAACTATAGTCCTTAACGTGAGACTTGTTCAGCTTCTTTCAAAAGTAAAAGGTTTTAAATAGAGTGGTTGACTTTTATATCCAAATGCAAGTTATCACCAATACTCAGGCTGTCCTGATTTTAAATATCTGATTTGATTTTAAAATAAGAGAAGATTGCTATAAAACTTTATGTTCACTGATCCTTTTGTCGGAAAGTTAGAACAAGTTTATTCATTTTTAAATGCTAATTCTAGAATTCTTAAAGCATGCAAATGGCATTTGTCTTTGGATTCACAAAAACTCTAGATATTCAGAGTTTGAATTATTTAAACTCCCACAACACATGCACTTTTGCTTTTCAAGCATGAGTTATAATTTAATTAAAAACTTCTGGTGCATTGCTAGCATGTTAAATATTAATATGTACCATGGATCACTTTCGATTATCTACCGTCTTGAAATTCTTGAAGATGTCAGATTTTTAAGATTCCCAAAGTTGTACTTGGAATTGTCTGTTGAGGCAAAGGGGATTGTGATAATTACACACATCCATTAGGATCAGCAGAGGAGATAAACTTTGGGGAGGCTTAATGGGCATGTCTCGGTGACAGCTAGCAAGGAACATTTGGCATGATTAAGGGTGGATTTGAATGCGGTTGAAAATATACTCTCATTATGGACACCAGTGGAAGTTACCCTACAAATGTGGAATCCCCAAAAGAAGAGCAGCATGGCAGGGATGATCTGAAATCCCCTGTGGCCATCGTCCAAATTATTCTCTTCCCTTTCTGTCTTTCTGCTGTCAGAATCGCTTTGTGCTGCCCCCTTCGACTCCCTGCTTCTCTGAAAAGAGGCAACCTGTTGATCTCTGTATTTCAGATTGTCCGAAGATACATCAAGGATTGGCTCGAAAGAAAGAAACCCCCTTTCGGGGCTGTCAGCAGCAGCGTACTCCTCATGATCATCTACACCACGTTCTGTGACACCTTCTCCAACCCGAGCATCGACCTGGATAAATTCAGCCTTATTCTTATACTGTTCATAAGTAAGTCTTCCTGTCCCCTCGGTCTCCCCAGTAGCAAAGCATAGCAGTTTGTGTTTTCACAATTCATTTTGAATGTTAATTTGATTAGAAAAGAATACTTTGTTTCATATCATATATACCCAGGAACTTTCTCACCTGTATCGTTCTTTGTGAAGCTATTAGTTATGCACTTACTATCTAATCTCTTTTGTTTTCTGTTTGATTTATAACAGTTCATGCCAGTTGAAGGAAGCCATAATAGCTGTAGCCATAATTCAAAAATCAGATGGAATACTTTTCCCCTGATTTATTTTAACTTTAAGCTAATCTCACCCTTTATTTTGAATTAAAATTAAGATTTATATTATATGATTCTATTAACTTGTAAGTATAATAATTTTGGTTGCAGTCATTCAAATGTGAATCTTTACATCATCTCTCTTATTAAAATATTTCCAAAGTGACATGATTGTAAGAAGCAGCAGATGGTAAAATGCTCACAACTGCTAAGACTCTTGTTATTCTCCTGTCATACCAAAGACAACTTTTGGTAATTAAAATATCAAAGACTCTTTTGTTATTAAAATCGAGATGAGTTCTTCCAAAATATATATTGCATATTGCCACGTTTATGCTATTTGCTATACTCTGGTATAAACCAGCTCTGTCTAAATTGAACAAGTTAAATAACCAAATATTAAACGAAAGAGGTTTTAGATTTACCCTGAGTAGTGACTATCATAGAGTCTGTCTGGGGATCTCTTCAACAGGTTGAGTTCCGCTCATTTAAATGAGTCTGTAGCTTAGGAATGTGTGGTTAGTTGGTTGATTTGTTGTTTATTCTTTCATTTGCAGTCCCGTAAGTTTCAGCTAAAACTAAGCATACCAGTAAATATGCTACAGAGTCTGCTTCTACGGTGCTAATTTAGATTCAATCTTTTTTTTCTTCAGTATTTTCTATTCAGCTGAGTTTTATGCTCTTAACCTTCATCTTTACAACAAGGTAAGTGATTTGGCATCTCTTGCTGTTAGTTTCTAAATGAGAATCGTGCTCTTTCCTTGGCTTCTGTGCCACTGTCCTGTTCCAGTCTTCTGTCTTCCTGACCCTCCACCATACCCCTTCCCCCTCTGGAAGGCGTAGCTGTCACCAAAGGGTCTGTCCTTGACTCACCTGTTCACACCAGGTGTTAGATGTCCTCCACCATTCTGATGATCTGTGCTTCCTGCTGCTAATGGTCAAGCCTAGCCCCTCTGGCCCAGTGTATTAGCACTCACTAGTGCCTTACCATTCTGAGAGAGTCACATGTCTTAACAGACCTCAGACTCAAGATATTCAATGTGGAATTAATTTCCTCCCTGCCCCAAAGTTTCCTCTTTTTCTCTCATTTCATTTTTTTATTTATAATGAAACCATCATCCAGAGAGTTGCTTAGACTGGAATCCTTTACATCATTGCTTCCAAAACTATTGATACCCCCCTGTAATATGTCTTGTGCTCCCAAAGCCACTTCTCTAATTTAGGTTCCTGCTGCCTCTTTTCTCCCCAGACTATTGCCACAGATACCTTCATCTCCAGGCCCAACTTTTCTTATGCATTTTGTACTCCTTCCAGAAACTCAAGGTTCTCATAATGCTCTCTCATTTAGAGGTCTTCAGTGGTTACCAAGTCCCTGCAGAATGAAGTTCCTTTCCGGGCCTGAAGCACAAGGTCCTCTCATCTTTTTTCTAATCTTACAACCCATCACAGGCATTCACGCTGTCTAGGCCTTAGGTCACAGTAAAATCTTTGCTGGTCCCTAAAAGTACTTCATACTTGTTTGCGCCATTCCCATGTCTAAATTGGACTGTGTGTCCTAGTTTATCTTTCCCCTTCTTAAAGACTCATCTTTAGTTTTATGCTTTCTTCTACCAGTTTTACGTTTTCAACTGTTGTTACTTGAGCCTTTAATGTGAGAAATTTACCACAGTGAATGCCACAAGTGAGAGAGGATGCCAGAACTGTGTGAGAGTCAAAGCTAGATAAGTACACCGACACCCATATCCTGACCAAGTCATACACTAACCCAGCCTGCCGCCAGTTAAAGAAAACCCCTCCAGAGAGTGCTAGATCAGGCTTCATGGAAAAGATGGGTTTTGACTTGAGTCATGAAAAATGACTATTAATGCAGCAAGGAGAGACTCAGAGGGGGTTTCTCGGTGGCAGAAGAAATGATAATGCAAAGTGTACACACACATGCGCACACATTAGACATGGTGGCTAGTAGGAATAGAGGCATCTTGAAAATAATAGTCACTGGAACAATAGGCTTAGGCAGCGTGCCAGGCCTGTGAGTACCAGGGGATGGCAGTGAGCCGCCACAGGGAAAAGGGCCTGGCTGATCCTGAGGCCTGTCAGTGGGTGGACTGTCCAGGCCTCACAATAGGCTCTTGGCTTTTGGGGCCCCTGGTATCGCACTAGGATGACTGTATCCCATCTATAAACATGTATCCATCGGTATCATTTGAAGTATTTTTCCAAGCCCGTGGTTGTGATTTATGAAGCAAGAGTAAAGCCTAGAGCCATTAAGTCTCAGAGATGTGCCTCAGTTGGGAAGATCTATGAGTAGGAGCTATTTTAAAGTTGCTTTTGCAAATGAAGGTATGTCTTTCACTGGCTGTTTTCTGGCCATTGTGGTAGAGTCCTCTTCAGGCAGCTCTTCCTCTCAGATGTGGTGGGACACAGATGTTCTGTCTCACAGTCGACTCTCCTGGTCTTGCTGAAGGATGATGGAGGGGGTGGGGGAACGTAGGGGTGTTGAATTGAAATTGAGAATTTTCGGCTTGGAGTAGATTGACTTTGACCAGGCCTTGTGATTTCGAGACCCTTCTATTCTCCCTCATTCTGCCTTCGCTGAGGTTCTGTCACATGTTTAACTTGCTTGGTCCACCCTCTTTGACAAATAGCAGAACACGCAGAGGCCCTAATCATGCTCTGAGTAGTGGTTGTGTGGGCCCCAAATATTCCATTAAAATTTGGGGAATTTTCAATTGGCCAAGGTTAGCTGGTTTTTGCATTTTTTTTTTATATGAAAGATCCCTAGTGCTTGAGGACTTTATTGATGGAATAAAAGATGCCAACATTTATTGACCCTTGCCCTGGCTAAGGACTGTATATGTTATTTTGTGTAAGTCTGACAGCAAAGACCATTTGGCTATGGAGTCTTATTGCTGTTTTGCAGAGGAGAACTCATATGGAGGTGTTGAAAAATCAAGTTTAGTAGTTTAGCAACGTCCCCAAAATCAGACAGCAGCTAGTACATGTGAAATTGAAATCCATTTCCATTTGACATTTCCAAAAACAATTGCCCCTACTTTTTTGCACTGCACTGAACTAGTTCAATTACTTTCAAAATTCGTATTAGTTTTAGTTAGGGAATTTGTGTAACGTGTCTAATTGGTTGGATTCCTTAAGTTCATATACACACAAGTTAGTGACACACAGAGTTCACACGAAGACCCACTGCTTTATACTCCGTTGGGTTTCATTTTCCTTCCGATACTATGACCCTTCCTACTTAGAAGGAGTGAAGGGGTGAGTTTTCTTTTTCGCATCATATTCGATAAATCAAAAGCCAATCCAGGTTTCAAGAGAGAAAAATCTCAGTCTGACATCAGTCTGTCTTTTTCAGTATGTCTCACCACCCACCTCTGTCAGTGGAAGTTTAATGAATCAGGAGAGACCCATCTTGGAATGTTTTCTACCATGAGTGTTTGAAATACATTTGAGAGCTCTTCTGTATTTTCCTTCATCTGTGTACACAATAGTAACCGGGTTAAAAGTCCCAGTTGAGGAGTTAGACAGACTAGAGTTTCAATCCAGTTTAATAATATTGTAACTTTTGTCAGTGTCTGCATTTATAAAATGGAGACAGTCCATGTACCTGTTTCATCGTTTTAAATAATCTCCACATAAAGTCCTCAGTGCAAAACCTAGCCTGCCATAATAAGCACTACTGTATAGAAGCTACTATAGAATGCAAAAGAATTTGCATTATAGCAAAAGAATTTGTATTATTTCCAAAACTAATGATGGAGGAGTAAGAATTAGCATTTCTAGCTCCATAATACATTCTCATTTGACATTTTTCTGTCATAGCTGCTAAGAAGTAAGAGTTGATTTATCACACCAAGGGCTTTAGTGCCCTAAACTCTCCGTGGCTTTGGGAAGCTGCCAAAGTTAAAATGAAAGATTGAAAAAGCTTAGAAAAAGAAAACAGTAATTGGAAACTTCTTAAAAATATATAAAAGTTTGCAGACTAATAACTAGAGTAATAGAATCTCAAGTATCACTAAAGTGATAAAAGGAAGGAAACAAATATTCAAATATTTGTGAAGGTGTTTCAGTCTCATCGGGACACTTCAGTAAGGCGTCTCAACGGGTCTCTCACCCCTAGCCCTGGGAGGGCAGGAGGGCTGCATGGAGGGGGCGAGGGTGAGAGGGAGGGAAGGAAGACAGGAGTTATTGATGTTATTGCTCAGTCTCCTCCACCGTTTCAAGGTGAAGCAACTAAGCCCCTGAGCTCCGGGTGCTTTTCTGGGGCCACAGCTAATGCCAGACAAGAGCTCCTAAAATGAGTGAAGACAAAACACAGGTGCAGAGGTTAACAAAGGAAAAGATTTCACATGGAAGTTTCCTCCTCTTCAAACAGGGGCGCAGACAGAGCCATCTCAGAGGAACTTCGCTGCCCCACATTCTGTGCTTGTAGTAAAACCCTCTGACACCATCTCCTTTGTGGGTGCTGCCAAAGACGGCAGAGTAAATACCATGTGGCAAATGTGGATTGAAAGCTTTGTAGGAGAGAACAAAAAGGCCAGTTGGGAAGAAAAGGAAGTAAACATCTCAAGGGAAGCCAAAGTGATCAAAAGAATTATACAAACAAGATAAAAGGAAAATCAATATTAAAAAGAGATAAGGTAGAGTTAGAAAATAAATAGTAATGTGGTTCCTCTCAGGAGTATGAGCAGATGCAACAGAGATGTTAATCACTGAGGATAACTGTCTTCATTGCCACTCACAGGCCTCGCTTCCTTTCCGTGTCACTGTCCTGACTTTCCACCCAGAAGACCCCCCGGGCTGAGCGCGACTGAGGGGGGTTACCACCACAGCTGCTCCCGGCCTCTAATCTGTGGGGTGGTTTGGGGTTGGGGTGCTGGAAAGTGCTGTGTGGATGTTCACTGCTGTGTTGGTGTCTTCCTCCTCCTGGTGGACGCGTCTGTGAGCGCCGGCCCTGAAGATGTTCCCGGGATCTACGAAGCCGAGCAACAGCTGCGACACGGGCAGAGTGCAGGCCAGTCCTGCTTGGGCGGAATGTTGTTCCTTTTTTTTTTTTTTTTTTTTTTTTTTTTTTTTTTTTTTTTAGATTTATTTATTTACACAAGAACTGGGGTACAGGCCAGATGCGCGGGAGGGTGAGAGACAGAGCGGGGCTGCAGAACAGCAGACTGACGAAATACACTGCTGAGGGGAGCAGCGGGTGAGACAGGAGAGGTCTGCCATGTCATGTGGGACCCTCGCTGGCAGGCTGGGATCAAACCAGCGATGCAGAGGCTGCGGACAGCTTCACAGTGGGGCGCTCAACTGCCTGTGCCACAAGGGGAGGCCCAGGAATGTTGTTTTTAACCATTTACATTCCATTTTCATGTCCCAGGCCTTCTTTCCTGGGATGGACTCTGTGTCAGTAGCACTGTGGGGCCTCGGGCCACATGGGCCTCCTCGTCCTCTCCAGGCCTGAAACAGGAAGAAGCACTTTGCAGATGTCCTCTTGGCCACCTTGTGGCTGCCGCCTTAGCATGCACAGGGTCTAGTGTAAGCTTTCTCAGTCAGAGAAATTTGACACATTGGAAACATGCTGTAATCTGGGAAAGAGCAAGATCATAAGCAAAGTTCGCCACAGGGAAGTGTATTGCCAGACTCTCTTGAAAAAAGCCAAACTGTATAAATCCAGATGCAGCAACAGTTGGTTATAAACAAGGGCAGAAAAAAGACTCAGGGGTCTTTTTTACTAGAGCCGTGAGCATCTCTGGAGAATGACCTCAAACTGGGCCTGTTCTCACATTCATTCCTGTAGATGTGTATTCTTCTTGGGTTGACTGGATACTGTTTTCCTCAATCTGTCCATTTTAAGCATCTATAATTTCTTTGGTTCTTAGGCCTCAATATTTTCTGATACTCTGTGCTGAGTGAAACGCCTTCCACTTTACAACTAAGTCAGCTCTGACGTAACTTACCTCTGGTTTCCCATTCCCTGTGGGAAAAATATCTATATTTTTGAGTCACCTTATCTTCTTTGCTTCCTGGACAGACTGTAGAAACCCCTGCCCTTTCAGACTAGCCTGTACAGTCTCGTCTTATCCAGGATCCTTGAGGCCCTGGTTCACTTGTTACTTCTAGCTGCTGCATATTCACGCCCCCTATGCACACGTTGTCCAAATCCCCCATGAGTCTTTTCTTCTTTTCACCATATTTCTTGAAAACACAGACCCTCTCCCTACTACAAATTCAACACACTTAAGTATCAACTCCTGGACCTTCTTGCCAGACCCCAGAAAGCCTTTCTCCATTCTCTATTTCCATTAACACCCCAGCGCTCGTCTCAGTCCTCTGTGCTCATGGCCCCTCATTTCTCTCTGATCCTTCCTCTTCTCTCAAAGCAATAATAACAATAAAAGTATTGATGCACAAACATCAAATGCTTGCCAGGTGACAGATTCTTAACAAACTTTGCCATTTATCCTCACAAAGACCTTAAGAGGCAGGTCGTTTCATTTTATACATAAGCAAAGGATAGTGTGGATTTAAATTCAGGTGTGTTTGACCTCCAAGCCTGTGCTTTTAAGCTCTTGGGAGGGAGTATTTCAGAGGTTAGCAGCTGGCAAGTTCTTTTACATCTATCTTCATGTCTTACCATCTGCTCCCCCACTGAGATTCTTCAGGCCTTAGAATCTGCTTCCTGCCCAGCCTCACCAGCTTTAGTCTTGTGCCAGGCTGTACAATTCCACCTCCGTAAGAACAGCTCCAGCCTGTCATTCCACCTCCCATGTCTTTCTGTGGTTCTTGTCACCCCATCTTATCAAGGTCACGCTCCTGGTGTCCAGCCAGTGTTCCTGAGTCCAAGACAGCCTGACAATCCTACTCTTTGTCCGCTGCCCCCCATAGTCCAACACTCCAGTTCCACATGCTTTGGCTAAAATACACATCTGCATGTGCCCGATCTGTTCGTCAAAGCCCAGCTCAATTGCTGTTTCCTCCAAGAAGGTTCTCTATGTGCTCCATCATCTCCAACCCCCTGACAAGCTGGAGGTCATTCTTCTCTCGGGTGCTGAGCCTGCTTGCACTCTGGCTCTTGTTCTCTCTGGCTATTGCGCTCTCTGGCTCTCTCTCCTACCCCCTTGGGAGAGTATGTATCTGTACCCCTTTCATGCATGCATTTACAGAACTTTGCATAGCCCCTTCCACGCTAGGCCTATGTGATGAAAAAAGGGAAAAAGTCAGCATGTAGTGCATTGTTGGGGAAAGAAACGCGGTCTCATCCTATAAATATGAGAGTAAAGTGTGAGGATAGTGAGGCCACCTCTCAAGTAATACATATCCTCAGGGACTCCTCAGCTGAGGTGAGACATCAAAATTCAGGTGGGAGGTTATCCAAACTGGTTAGAGAGCACCAAAGGGCGATTTAAATATCCTCAGAAGATATGTGCAGGCTGAGAGGACTCTTCTCCCTCCAATGAGTATATGAAAGAGAGAACAGCATCTGGGATCTTTCTAGGGAAGATTTTTAACCCAATGAAGGGTGAGACGTATCAAGTTGTATAAGAAGAGTGAGACATGCCCTTTCTTCAGAGACCCTTAAAAATCGGGTATAGTGTTAACATTTGCATCTACATCCCTATAGGCAGGTCCTAGAGAATTTTTCCATTTGCTACTCCCTTGTGTAAATTCAGGGCAGGAAAGGAATAGATTCACTTTATCTTCAAGCCCTACTTCTGCAGGAAGGAATAGTTTTAAACTTATCAAGATGCGAGAATAATTATAGTTTTAGCCTTTTGTACTCTTAATTCTCTAAATATTTATAATGTAAAATAGGAAATTTAAATGCACATTTATCAGTACTGACCTCCATAACTTTTAATGGATTTTGACTAAATGGGATTTTTTTAAAAATACTTTACATATTATGTAATAATAAAGTGTAGCAGTTAAGAACACAGGCCCAGAAAACAGGCTTGATTGAAGTCCTGGCTCTGTCACCTAGTGGCAGAGGGGGCCTGGGTAAGTAACTTAACTTCTGAGTGCCTCAGTTTCCTCATCTGTGAATAGGCATGTAGATCAGCCACCAGAGTGGTTGTCTTTATGTGCAAGGCCTTCCCAGAGTACCTGACACATCATAACTGCTCAACAGGTGATAATGTGTTACTTCCACTAAAACATAGGATGTTATATCATTGTTCCTAACATATGTTTCTCAAAAGTGTGTGTTTGCTGCCAAAAAGACAGATGTATTGCTCCTTGAAGGGAACATGTTGGCTCTTTCAGCTCACGGGTTAATATAAAGTCATCACCAAGTGATTTAGCTAAAAGGGATTCTTGCTGTGTGATTTTTCACAAAGTCCTGCACCAAGGCCGATTATGTGTGATCTAAGAGACCTCTACCACTTACTTTTAAAACTATCTCCTTTTCATGGGTAAGTGACTCAGAAATGATTCAGAAATTCTAAAAAGAAATTCAGACACTTAGGTCCATTTAGATATAGAAATATTATCTCTGTCACCAGGATTGATCAAAAGGCTTTTAACATGAAGGTAGGTACTGCATTTGATTTAGGATGTATTAAAGAGGCTTTTGATAAAAGGATTTGTAAAAACACTTTTTTTTTTGCCCCTAGGAATAATTCGGGTTTCACCCCAGCGGATACCGTGGCCATCATTTTCTGTTCTACACACAAATCCCTCACCTTGGGTAAGTGATTCACAGAGTCAAAAACCAATTGAGTGTCACTCTCAGGTAGTTACATCTTACTACTTTGAAATTCAAGTCACTCTTCAAATGAAAGGGAACTGGGTATTGTCCACTCTGTGAAATAAAGGACAGTAGCAAAGTGAGGATGCTTTGAAATGCCATTATTTGATTGAACTAATTTAGGCCCTAATTTTTGAGGGCCTAAATTTAGTGGGCTGGGATTTAGTTTAATCTGTAATCATAGCACAGTTTCTCATGAAAATATGTCCATGTAGGATGTTAGCATTTGGAGTTAAGAAGAAGGCAGGGGAGGTAGAGGAGGGTCAGTGTGGGGGCTGCTTCTGAGGGAAGAATCAGCAAACATTGGCTTTGGAAACTGTGGAGTTGTCCCTGGAATACGCTGCCCAGAGTCAGGGGTCACACGAGCCCGTGTCCTGGGAGCGGCTGCCTAGCTGAGCTGAATACACTCCAGCTCTGCAATGGGCGTCACACCCGCCCGCCCTAGGGGTGCTGTTGTCAGGAAAAGCGAAGTGGGTGTTTTGGTTCTGCCACGACATGCTGGGCTGGCACGAGCTCTGCCCAGGAGCACACATGGCACAATCAGCCTCCTTTTCTGCAAGAAGGGTACCTGCTGGTCAATCTTTCTTTTGTCTCTTAAATGTTTGTCCTAATCCTAAAGCCATACTCTCCTGTTTTTGATGTTTTCTGAATGCTGGTGGTCATTTTGCTAAAAGGGGTTGGGTTGACTTGGATTTTTGTTTGCCTTTGAAATAGGTACTTAGATCTTCCAGGAGGATCCTAGCATAAGTATCTGAGTAACCGTGGCGTGTGAGTCTGTAGTTACTTCCTGAGTGTGATAGACGTGAACTGCAGGCCCCTCCTGACTGCAGGAGCACGCCCCCGTCTGCCTCCTCGGCTCTCAGAAGGGGCATTTTACTTCCAACTCAACTATTTCATCCCACCTTGACCATACCTACTATCCCCTGCAGTCTCCTAGGAAGCATCTTGGAAACTAGCCTCTTTGCTGCTGCTTTTCTTATCCTGGGGAAGGGCAGGGATCTCCCTTGTCCCAGAAGCTCACTTATTTCCACAAGCAGCAAGTTCTGAGTCCTATTGGAATGGACTTGTCCAGCCCTTTAAAGCCCCATGATCAGCTTGCACAAGGCCCAGTGCTTGTTTCGGTGTCGATGACCTGCCGTCTCTGGTACTGGGGGTGAGCCAGGACCTGATGTTCTTGACATGGAAGTGAAAGAACATCACACTGAGAAAAGAATTCATATTCCAGAGAGCTGGAGGACATTTCAGATTACAGCATTCAGTTACACTCTCTCTCCTCTCTCACACAAAGATAAAATTTAAAAGCTTATGCTATCTCTATTTGGCCTTTAAAGAATATATTTATCCCTTTTGGCCTTTGAAGAATCACTGTCATAAATATTTCTTCTAGTAACTTCACACACATACACACACGTATATGGACTACATTCAGTGAGGCTTACGTTGCACTCTTCACCATTCCATCTGGCTTTTGTATTTAAGCATAAATTGTCACAGACCAAGTGTTACCCATGTAACTAATGAACCAAAGATGAAAACTCTTGGTTGAGAGGCCTAAATCGTCTCTTCTACATACACTTTCAATTTATTTTATTGTTCTTGCTTTTGCCCTGTCTCGGTCTCTTCATGGACTCGTATCTACACACATGCTGAATTTGATTCATTGCTTTTATTAGTGCATTTGCCATTGATTGATTAGTTCTTCGTATTAGTACTTTTTCTATTGATTGATTGCAGATGAAGTGACTATTTGACCTTTAATTATGAGGCTTCCTATTGAAAATGACATTGAGCTATGGCTTCACATAATCCATCTGGAAAGCCTGACGTGATACCATTCCCTGGAGTTCGTTCAGGAAGAGAGAGGAGGCCTGGAGGAAGTGCAGCTATCGTGCGCTTCATCTAAAACAATACTGCCAGGCTTGTTGCCGCTGTCCTAGAGTTTCAGCTCAGGGCGGGAGGTAATTTTATATTTTGTCAAGACAATATCCCTGCCTGTGGGTTACCATAAAAGGCATGAACTCTCCCAAGTTATTCTCCAGTTCGATGCTGATATTCGTATAATAACGAGAAGGTGTTTCACGGCGCAGGGCTTGAAAGCATCTTGGCCCCTAGTTAACAGTGGCTCAGTGCACCTTCAGAAGAGCTCGTCAAGGAGGAAATTCAGTCCCAGACCCTGTGCAGTTAGCATTCTCCTTTTCTGTTCTTTATCTTTTTCTCTTGGGTATCTAGAGTTCTAGTAGCGGTAGAAAACTTTTTCACTGTTCCTAGAAAGCAAATGCTTCAGAATGTCTGGGATCCTTGAGTGTATATTTGTATTAGTTTTCACTGTTTTAAAGGGGCAAAATGAAAGCAAATACTCTGAGAGCATGTCAACAGGCTGCTGGCAGTCAATCGTGAGATTCCCAGTTATTCTTTGCAAAAGCACTTCTGAGCTGTAAGATCGCTGTGTCAGTGCTAAACAGAGTGTCACGATCAACGCGTACTGAAAACCCCTTGTGCGTCTTTCCGTGTTGCCATCCAGATGCTTGAGTATGAAGACGCGTGAGGCAGCTCTCTCTGTGGGTCTGTGGCTGCAGTTACACAGCTGAGCTGTGATGAGGAACAGCACTGACCACACGCACATATAGCTTTTAGGTAGGCCTAGGAGTCTAGAAAGAACACATACCTGTAACCAATCTGGATTCATGCTCCAGAGCTGGAACAATCACTTGCTGAAGGGCCTCAATTTCCTTAATTGTGAAATGAGAAGATGGATAAGATGGTACTTGACAGTTCTTTTAGTTTTAAGTTTCTGGGAGTCTGTGCTCATTGTTCTAGAAGATAACAAGTTTCCCTGCCATATGAGAAAGGAAAAGCGTTCTTGAAAAGAATGGTTATGTCAATAATATTTCAATGCCACCGGAAAGGAAAGACAGCCATTTGCCGCCTCCTAAAGAGGTTAAAAGATCTTCATACTCTCCAGAGGATCTCATAGGAGAAACAAAATCAGAAAAGGGATCTTGTTTTCAATTTTACTTGGGAGCGTTTCAAGAATGTTGAAGGATCACCTGTAACTTGGGCGGAAAAGATCATTTAATAACATCTGGGCTGTTTCCTCAAGAGGAAAGAGAATTGAAATACAAATGTTTGTATTTCTGTTTTTCTTCTCTCCTTAAGCTTATCTGTGATTCTATTTGGCACATAAAAAGTAGTATCTTAATAAAACTACCCTACAACTGCGAAGCAATTGGGAATTAAGTGCTTTTTTAAAGCTCTCAACCCATTAAGTCATATTACCTGAGCAACCTTGAATATTAACAAGTCAGCAACTATTATTTTAATAGAAAGAAGAGCATAGGAGAAAAAATTAAAACATGTCCCAGATCATATAACTGAGGTTCAACTCCAGGCCTCCTAACTTCCAGAACTGCGTTAGTAATAGGACGAGAAAGCACCTCAAAGTTGGGGCCTCCATAGTGGTGCAAGGGGTTAAGCAGCGCACTATGAAGGAATCCACAGCCTCTGCAGCATGAGTTTCGATACCCGGCCGGCCAGGGAGCAACCCACATGGCGCGCAGACCTCTCCTGCCGCCCGCTGCTCCCCTCAGCAGTGTACTTCAGTCCTTCTGCCTGCTCTGCTCCCCGCTCTTGCTCTGGTGAATTCTCTCACCCTCCTGCACTTCTGACTGTACCCAGTGCTTATATAAATAAATAAATCTTTAAAAAAAAAAGATAATCAGATCTCTCTGGGGGAATCCACAGCCTGGCCCCCGGATTCCATTCATCTTAATGATATGCCAGGAACTGTTCACCTGGACCCCAGAGCCCTAACACCTGCTCTTCTCAGGGACTGGCAAATACTTTTAACCCCAGCTACAGTAAGAAACATATTTACAATGTGGTCCGGTACACACTTGCAGGTATGTAAAAGTTTCACAAAACAACAGTCACTCTCACTTTATGTGGTACGTTTCATATTCCACCCAAGGCTAGAGAAGGCCCAAGAGGTTGATTTTGCAACTCAGCAGTGAGTCATAATCCAAGATCTGAAAAATACCACTTTATACTTTACTTGTTGAGATTTTATCCCCTTCCTCAAATAGATACCGTGGTGGCTTTGACAATCACTGTTGCTTTTTTCTATACATTTTTGCTGATATAATATTTTAGTTCTCCATTTGACATGTTTTTAATGATAGTAGTAATAATACTATTAATAACAACAGATAACATGAACTGACTGCTTAATAGGCAAACACTATGCTAAGTGCCTGTTACATGAATTAATTTACTTGCAAATACTTTGTGCTGACAGGGTGGGGTTCTGTGTGTGCTGGGGAGACTCGACCAGCACCAGCAACAGCCAGTTGCTCTCGTGGAAAATTCTCCGGGAGAATTGAGCTGCTCTTTTATCAGAGAGGAAATGCTCCTGAGGCAGCGACAACAAATGCTTATGTTTTCTCTGTCTCTATCCACAAGAGATTGTACTAATTTGCATAAGGAATGCAGAAATAGGTTTTAACTGATGAATTTACTGACTTGTCACTTAGCACGATAAATGTAATAAATGGACTCTCATGGAAATGTAGACTGTCCAGAAACTTTGGAGACTCTTCCCACTTGCTTAAAGAATCTAGCAAAACCCATAGCCTGAAGATGAAATCCTTGGGGCCGAGCTGGAGGTGCCATTCCTACCGGTTTAGAGCCGCTCCTGTTAGGACAAGCTGGGTTGTCCTGCCTCGAGGGACAGGGTGCTGGACACCAGTTCTAGAAGGCAACTGTGTGCTCAGAGAGACCCATGCAAGGGGCTGGTGAGCACACAAAAGGGCAGGCTCTGGGTCTGCGGGGCAGTTGCTACTTTGCAGCTAGACTGTTACTACACCTTGAGTTAGAAATTCTTGTATGTGTGGCTACTTACTCTCATTCAAACCTGCTAACCAGGCTTGGGAGGGAGTGATCCT